ATCCCCAGTATTAATAAGTGATTATTTAATATTAGTCAATTTTTGTTAAATACAATAAGAATTGCCTTGTGTTCTGTACCCACATATCTGAGGGATAGTGCTTTATACAGTTGTTCACTAACCAACTGCATCGAGTGAATCCTGGAATGTAATCACTGAACCATGTAATCTCTTTAGAAACTTGAAAATGAAAACAGAGACGCCCTGTAGCTCCTGTGGATTCCTTTGCTGATAATAAACAAGTAGACCGTCAGTTCATTAATTTGTATTATGAACAAAGTCAAGGTGGATGTCAGTGACCAGCAAGTATATGAATTTTTGTCTGTCATCTCATAAAGTCAGTGTCATTTTAAAAATCCCTCTTAATTTTAAAATCCAGTCATGGTCTTTGTGAGCAGGAAAGCCAATGGCCCCCCATGTAATTACCCTCTTGTTCCCCCACTCTGAGAACCACTCACACTAAATTCTCCCATTTCTTGGAAAACACAGGTCATCGCTGTTTAGTTCTGAGCTCCGGAGGCAGAACTACTCCACCCAACACCCCTCTCTGCTTTCTGTCCCTAATCTCGGGCTAACTGGGGGCTCCGCTCAGTTTGGTATGATGGAGCGAGAAATCATTAGACAGACGGATGGTGAACTGTAGCTGGGGTCTTTGGTCACGCTCAGGGTGATGTCAGTCTTCAGTTTTGTAAAGTGCTTAGCCCACTTTCACAATAATATTTAAAGTACATGAGATGAGTCAAACACTTCTGAATCCAAATTATTTTATGCAGCTTGCTTGATCATGGCTATCATTTTCTTCCTAGACATCTTCTCCAAGACAGAAGCGGGAATGCAGAGGGAGTCTTTGTGTAATCATAGGAAACTAAAGAGAGATTTCCCTTATGGTTGTCATCAGATAAACTCTCTGATGGGTAGGGAAGGAATGATAAACTTTTCCCCCTGATCCAAGGTGAGCATGATGATAAGTTCCGCCTCCTGCCAGCTTCCATGCTTGCTAATACTCACGAGACAGCCTCCATCTTTGTTACTGCGCCGCCAATTGTTTGCCTTGTTTCCCTTTGTCTCTGCGTCACCTGAAGTCTGTGACATAATAAGAGAGGGATCAGGGTACATGATTAAAAAAAAATAGTAGCTAAATATTTTTTGTTTCTGCTACAGTGAAGAGGAAACAGAGAGTGGATTTGAAAAGATAAACACATGCCTAAAAAGAAAAGGAGGATAATTAGAGATCTGTATGAAGAAAGAAACCTGAAAGTGAGAAATATGGATATAAAACTTCTCACTTTCACTGTGATTAATTTTACAACAACATTTTTTTTGGGGGAAAAATACAAAACTTTCATGTATTGCTCATTCCTTAGACTAAAAGAGATGTCCATCCGTCCATTTGCCTGTCCGTCCATCCATCTGTCCGTTCCTCCATCCATCCATCCATCCAACCAACCATCTAAACATGCATCTTATCTATCACCTTCTTATTACTTATCTCTGTACCAGTTATCTATCATCAAATTTGGAAAGTCCTATGATTGAAGGAAGGTTATTGAAAAGTCCCTCAAAGTTTTCAAGTTGGCCATTACCTATAAAGCTTTCCAACAGATGTTTGGTTCTGCTTTTCTAAACTCTGGACCACAAATTAGTCTTCACTAGTATGCACTTTGCCATTATTATTATTTAGGAAAAGGCCTCGTCAGATCTCACTTTTCTTTAGCTTCCTAATTCCCCACACTATTTAATTTACTATTCAATGGCCACTTCTAAGACACTTGTTGATGCGCCAAGAGCGGGGCCTATGCCTTTTACATCTTGGTGTGTCCACTGTGTTTTACAAGTTGTGCTTCATCCAGGCGAGTTGTGCATTCTAGACACTGAACAACTTGGTGAGGATTAAGGAGCTACCTATTCTGAATTTAAAATCATACCTGGCTGAGTGAGGACAGCAGAAATACTGAGACAGAGTTATTAGAAAGCTAGTGGTAAAACACAGGCACGCATGCGGTCCTGGCACATCAGGAAGGAGAGCAGGTACTGGCCGGAGGGACTGAAAAGCCTTGTGTAGACCAGCTATGCTGTAGCTTAAAAGATTACCTTTTGTATCACCAGGTGAAGATCCACGAATATATTCTAAGATGATCAGAAGTGAATGCAAAGACATAGAAATGTGAACAAAGGACTCTACTTGCAAAACACAAAGGGAAGCTCATTAGCACTAGACAATAATTTTTCTGAAGGCAGATTTTTGGCCACCTTTTATGCTGTGATTAAGTATTGTCTTATTAATCTCTTTGAAGATTGCCTTGTCTAACCTGGGTAATTTACATTTCCACCTAAAAAGAACCTTATCTGTCCACAAGAATTTGAGATGGCATTGTTTAAAGAAGAAATGTCTGAAAATTGAGATCATAATTACTGAATCTTTCTATTTCCCAGTTCTGTTTATGGAAATAGACACATAGGATAATCTTGGTCAATACGAAGTTAAAATAGTATGTGAAGATGAGGACAGAATTACTGCAAATACTAAAAGCTGATGTCATTAAACATTGCTGGATTAATCCCTTCCTATTTACGTTGTGAATGTAATGTCTGCAAACCTCAGATATCTGTTCACCAGGCGAGGCCACCTAATCTTTGCATAGGAAAAAAACTCTTGTGTTTTGTGTTTTCTAGATTACATTCATCCAGTTAGCTCTCAGATTTGTATTTTCAGTTCCTCTCTGGGGAATACCCTTGATTATGTTTATTAAATGTGAGAACATCCAAGATCTCTGAACAGAATGGATGGAGCTGTGAAAGTCTCTCTCTTACTAAACCATATTTCAGGGTGAGCCATGTATATTACACATATTATTCTTGTCCTATGTGTGCATGTATACAAATATGCATGTTTGTGTGCATTGCTTGATAACAGCTAGAAATCAGATGCCTTTTCATACACACACACACACACACACACACACACACACACTAAATTGGTTAACTCCCCTTCCCCCAACAGTTGAGTGGTTTTGATCTTGGTCCTAGTTCTTAGGAGACTGTAGATGTCCTTGAACTGAGTGAGCTGGATTCGAGAACTGTGTACAGTTCACAATTTTTGTTAACCGCCCATAGTCTTTCCCTAGAGATGATGCATTCCGAGCTGTAAATGCCAGGGACGGGCAGAGAGCAACTGACACACCGCCCTGTGTCCAGATTGAAGCGCTGTGGGTGCCCCTGGCTTCACTGGCTCCGTTTCCCCACCTGAGTGCAGCAGAGTTAGACCAGCCCTGTGCCTCTTTCACGTTATCTGTCCAGGTGTGGCCTTTAGCCATTTTTTTTAAAGATTTATTTATTCATGCCCACAAGAGCTGGGGTGCAGGCCTGAGGTGCAAGAGGGTGCGAGGATTCACCAGAGACAGAGTGGGGAGCAGAACAGGCCAACTGACTGCTGAGGGAGCAGCGGGGAGACAGGGAGAATCTGCTGCACCTATGGGTCACTCCCTGGGATCCAGCTGCTGCAGTGGCTGCAGAGAGCTTCATGGTGCTGGGTCTTACTTAATGCCTTGTGCCACCAGGGAGGAGGCCTCTTTAGCCTTTGACTCACCTGACTGTGCTGCAGGCAGCTTTGTGCATATGAGGGAGTCGTTGAATAATTCCGAGGGTGACTGTCATCTGTCATATATATTAGAAGAATTACTTAGAAGGGATGTTCATCAACACTGCATTTCATGAAAGCATTGAGAGCTTGTTTCCAAAATGCTAAGTTTGTGGAATCGTCTGGGAAATGTATAAAGAACTAAACACCCAAAGTCCTGAAAACAAAATGGCGTGTCTCCGCGCAGCATGCTTCCTCTCCTGCTCCTTCCTCCTCTTAACCCCCTTCTCCTTTCTTGTGATAGGTAAATCCCCACCACACCCCACACACAGTGGGGTAACTTCCTCCTCTATCCGTCTCTCCTTATTTGAGTCTTAACTCCTTAGGCAGCTTCCTTTTTATGGTCATTTGTGGGAAAAAACTTCTGTTACTTATAAAACATTCCACTATGTTTTAAATATTTTAACATTAAATTAAGTAGCGGCTTGATTCCTTGCCCCAGGACAGCAGCCTGGTGATGGCAATTCATGTATGTGGCCTAATTTGAAATTTCTAGATTAACATTAAATCAGGAGGTGATGGCAGAAAATTCACAAAAGTTTGGCAAGGAAATATGAAGATAATCTTGCGGGAGCATCACTTGGTTGGTTAAAGAGAATAGGAAAATGTCTTTTTAAAAAAAAGATAATTCATGCATTCAAGAGCTGGGGTACAGGTCAGAGGTGCAGGGGGTGAGAAGATTGACCCATGACAGAGTGGGGAGCAGAATAGGAAGCTCTACTGAAACCCACTGCTGAGGGAAGCAGCGGGAGACAGGAGAGGTCTGCTGAGCCCTGGGGCTCCCTCCCTGGCCGGGGATCCAACTTATGCTGCAGTGGCTGCGGACAGCTTCATAGTGCTGTATTTTAACCTGTTGTGCCGCCAGCGAGGCACCGGATAGGAAAACATCTTAATGTAGAAAAGGTAGTATTATAAGTAAAAATTCAGGGGCCACCGGTGGCATAGAGGTTAAAACCCAGTACTATGAAGCAATCACCAGCCTACAAGTGCTTGTTCCATCCCCAGCCAGGGAGTGACCCACAGGGCCCTGCAGACCTCCTGTCTCTCCACTGCTCCCTTCAGCAGTGTGTTTCAGAAAGTCGGCCTGTTCTGCTCCCCACTGTCTCTGGTGGATCCTCTCACCCCCTGAAACTCTGGGCTGCACCCCAGTTCTTACATGCATAAATAAATAAAATTAAATCTTCAAAAAAAATACAGTGGAAGACATTCACCATGGAAGAGCTCTGAAAATTGTACGTTTAAGTTTCATCGGCTATACTTGAATGTGCATGGGGAGATACATTCAGCATTAATCAACCCAACAGTAGTTTTAAAAACGATCGAATGTGTTGGCTTATCTCCGCCTGTTTCGCTGCTCTGCGATTGTACTTCCTCCTGGCTCCCTCAGCCCCACCAGCAGGAAAAGAAATGGCGGTCAGTGCCCAGCCGCATGCTGTAGCTGGTTTCAGAAATTTTCTTTAGAAAAATCTAAAAATAGGATTGAAGATTTCAGGCTGAAAGGTTTACTCACTTTTATGCGCCGCTTCACAGATTTTGGATTCGCCCCAAAGCCAAACTTTGCACAAAGGCTTATAAATGATTTAGATCGTAAATTTTTTTGGTTATAGTTACTGATTGTGATATGATGAGAGTATATTAGTGCGGATTTCAGAGAGAGAGCTGAATATTTCATACTAAATTAAAAAAAAATTCAATAACCTGATTATACTTAGAGTTGTTTACTGGTTAATCAGACTGTGATAATCAGAATAATGAAGCAGAAGAAAATAACTCAGGTATATGAGTGCTTTGTGTTCACTATTTGCACATTTAAAAAGGAAATAATTAAAATGTAACAAAGAGAAGATTTAAATAAATGGAATCCATAAATTAGACTTGTGACATCATTAAAACTGAAGCTTTGAAGACTGGATACTTAGGATGTTGATTACGGTGAAGGTGCTGATAAATGGTTAGGTGTGGAAGACTGATCCTAAAGAACTCCAGAGTTATTGGAAATATGTAAATTTGGGCAATCTGAAAATGTTAGAAAGCAGTTACTTTTGTGAAGAGAAATTAAAATGTATTTGTAAATTTTACTTGTCTGAATTTTCAGTCATAATAATATATTATTTCTGAAATAAAAATGAGTTTCCTTACAAGTGTCTGAAGTAATGTATGAACCTGTATATTGCAATAAAATCATGATTATAAGCAATAAGGGTACTAATGTTAATAGTTTTTTGTAAATTATCATACCAGCACCACAAATGATTCTTTAGTAGAAAAGGCAGATACTTCATTATGTATATAAAAATAGTAAGATTTATTGCATTAGGGATTACTTATGCAATTTCTGAGATATTTGCATTTTAGTTACAGTCAAGATATTTCTGAAAACTTTAAAATTAAAAGTTTACAGTATTTTCAAGTTTTGCAGGTAGAACAAGATTTGTGTTTAATTGTGGTGACATGGTCTATGGCACTGGATGCAGTTATGGGCAACAGCTCACACCTCTTCAGATGCGTGTCCCTACACAACACCCACCCCACAGAACTGATAACCCCACTTCCAGCTTGAATCCCAGACCCCGAGCCTTCCCTTCTGGTAACCTCAGCTCTTCAGTCAGACTTCTTGGGTTAGTTTTGATTGAGTTTCGTTTGCTTTATTTTCTATTTCCCATGTGAGTTAAAGCATTTGGTATTTGTCTTTTTCCTTCTGACTCTCTCTTAATTCAGCATCATCCCCTGTGGTTCCATCCATGCTGTCAAAAATGGCAAGAGTGTATCTTTTTATAGCTGAGTAGTATTCCATTGTGGGTATAGACCACATCCTCTTAATCTACTTCTCTGTCCCACTCTGTCTCCTACCAAAATGTGAATCTTTTTAAAGGACAGTCTACTCATTTATTTAAAATACTTAACTATTCACTCACCTCATTGAAAGTCAGTTTGCACTATTGGGTTTGAGTAAGGGATAATTAATGTAAGCTGGAGTAATTAAATCATATTGTCCTCTATATGACTTAATATATTTGAGTACTGTATGTGTCAAGAGAGTCTGTTTTTAAATCTTGATTCCTTTGATCACTTTTCATTTCAGATCTCCTCTACTTCTCTTTTGCAATGCTGAATAATAGGGTGAGGTCAGCTGGCAATTATTTTTTAATTCAATTCAGTTCTGGTGCAAGAAATATACTAGCCCTCATCTAAAGTGCTTGAAGATAATGATTAAAAAAAAAAATGGTCCTTTCGGCTCCATTGTTGATGTTTATGTGAGTAAGTTGTAAAGACAATTAATGAAATGCGGAATTTGTGATGGCCAGAACAAAAAAGAACTGATTTCTTTAGAGACGTCAGTGCATAACGACTTCTTTAACAAATCATTCGAGAAGGTTATCGATCACATATATGAGTGATCGCTGCATTTGTAAACTATTACACTTTTATTTTTTAAATTAAGATTTTTAAATCTTAATTAAATATGTGCCAAAAATTGTGGCTTATGAGTCTGAGAATTTAATCTTTCCTGTTGTATGTTTAAAATAGTGTACATTTCTCTCAAGTTGTATTAGTCAAGAATATATACTTTGCACTTTTTATCATTTAAGGTCCTATTTTTATAAGACAGATGAGTTGGAGACCAAGTCAAATTGCTTATTATTTGGACAGAGTTTAACAGTCTTTTAAAAAAAATGCTGTGTCCAACACCTTGACATGGATAGTCTTCTTTTGAGCTGTGAATTGTTTATTTTTATGTTTGCAAAAAAAAAAATGCTTTAAAAGGGTAATCTTATTAGTTGTAAGTGAATAGTGTTTTAAATACCTTTTTAATGCATAATGAGAATTCTGAGGCTCAAGTCTTTCTATAAAGGGAATTAGATTTGACATATTTCTTTAGTAATTATTCTAGTGAAAAATAAACAGACTTGTAAAACTAAATTACTCTTTCTAAAAGAAATACAATAACTTTTTGTCCATATTGTGTATTCATTAGTTAAAATAATTTGTTGCACTGTAAATACTTTATGTGTGTAACTGACTAGGTTTGGGTAAAGGTAATTCTAGTGGAAAATTTATAGATGTTATTCTAGCTAACTTTTATGATATCTTCTGAGATACGGAGTTTTGTTCCACATTATTAAACTGTCTTGCTTTTCAAAATGGACTGAATTATAGTTCAGAAATATGACAGGAGGAGCATAAATCCGTTTAATCCCCTTCCTACTTCCCTCGGAGGGGAGACCATGGTGATAGGAACCTGTGTTGTCTCCTAAGCTTTCTAAGGGGTGGGCTCTGCATCAAGAATGGGTTCATTGCTCTGTGAGAGGAGGAGCATGGGGAGGAGGAAGCTACGAGGGAAGAGGGGACAGGGCAAAGAGGAAGTCGAGACTTCCCAAAGCAGTGGTGGAGGGAAAGCGAAAGTGGGGCTTAGGGGTGAGCAAACATGCATTTCTTGTTAAATTGTTTATTTGTGGCATGGGATGTAGACTTGACTTGTCGTAGGTGTTTTGGTGTGTTCTAAGGATTAATCCCAGAGAGCTCTGAGCATCCTCGGGATAACACAGGAAAAACTCACAGACCCACACACCCACACAGAAGGACACCAACACCATCGAGGAGAATTATGCTATAAAGTGTGGAGGAGAAATGAGGCAAGCTCTTCACAAATGGAAATGCA